TAACAGATATTCACATAGAAAACAGTTATTTTAAATAGTAAAAATATTTCACAATTTTACTGATTCTTGCCATATTTTGGATCAAATAAATGCAGTCCTATTGAGCAGAAGAGAATTCTTTAAAAAACATAAAAAATCTTACTATTCAAAAACTTTTGACTGGTAGTGTGTATATATATATATATATATATATATATATATATATGTTATAACAAACTAGCAAACTATATTTGTCAAGAGTAAGTACACTAAAAAAAAAATTGCATGTAAAAACAATTTCACAAATAATTTCAAGGAATTGGCAAATAACACATTGCATTATGAAATTTTGAAGCAGACCGACCGAAATAGCAAATTGCAAACTATATTGTCAGGATTTTTAGCTTTTGTCAAGATCAATGTTGTACACTGAAAAATTGGATGTAGAAACAATTTCCACTCAGAAATTGGCAGTAAAATTCGGATATATTTACAATAATTATAATATTAGAATAATTACACTAGATTAAACACGAAATGTTGAAGTAGAAAGACTGAAATAGTGTTTTCTTGTAAAACGTACTTCAATAATCTTTATTTACAACTCTGAAAAGTCATTTTTTACAGTGTAGATCAGAGCCGTTCCAGCTTCAGAATCAAAACCTGAACACAAGACGAGCTTCTGAACTTCATCTGTATGTCGTGGATTTAAATAAACCATTTAACATGAATACAGGCTTCACATTTTAATTCCTCCAGGTTGTTTTGCCCAATATCTGTCCATTATTAGTCCATTACTGTACATGCAATTCATGTTCGTTGAGGTTTTAATGTCTGGTTTCTCTTTGCTATCTAATACTCTCATTTAGCGGAAGCTTTTATACAAAGCAGCTTACAAATGAGGAACATTAGAAGCAATTTTATTAACAAGGCAAGTTTCAAAAATAAACTAGAGCAGTGCAGAAGCAGAAATGCAGAAAAGGAGAGAGAAGGGGAAACCAGATGAGCATACTTTCAGAATAGAATTTATTCATAGGAAGTATCTTGGTTTAAGTGCATGCGGAAGAAGCGCTGCATTAGAACACTATGCAAATGTAACACGTGACACATTTCTACATTCGACTGCACTGCTTTCCATTGTTTTTCTACGTGAACAAGCACTATAACAACTTTGCCCTCCAAAATGATGATTTTTGTACTTTAAAGGGATTTTAAGATAAATGGCTTGCCTAAATTTGTATAAAAACATTATGCAAATATTGGATTCAATCTTTTTATCAGCTTGCTTTCGTTCAATCAGCACAGGTTTTGTATTTCTTGATCTGATCCGAGCTCATGCATCTCAGTTTTTGAGTGAAAAAGCATTATTTGTGGATAATTTCGGCAATAATCAATAAAAAAAAAAACAGGTGCATAAGCTCAATAATATCAAGAAATACAAAACCTGTTCTGATTGAACGAAAACAAGTTGCTATATAAAAACTGAATTAACAGTTTACTTAAGCCTTTATATATAGCTGTAGTTTTAATGCATTAACTAAGTCTTGTAATGCACCTTATAATGCATCGTATGTATTAATGTATGCATTAAAGGTATGCATGTTGTAATACATTAAATAATTGTAACCACAGATATAAAGCATTATAATACTTTAGAAAGTATAATGCATGAACAAATAAACCTTAAAATATTATAATGCATTTTATCTTTGGTTACAATTATTTAATGCATTACAACATACATACCTTTTTAATGCATCATATATAAAGACTTTAAGCGTTACTGATTGGATCCAATATTTGGTGATAATATAACAAAAATATAGCAATTTTTTCAAAGCAAAAATACATTCTGTGTGAATGCAAAACCCACAGCAAACAACGCAACACCAGATTTCATATGCAATAATTGCAACTTTCTTACCGGTGCATTACTGTGTGCCAAATAACATTCTGACATCTCGTATCAGGACGTGTTTTATTCAGGAACCTCAAGCACCATCAACACAAAATAAAAGCAGACAACAAAACCAGGGACTACAAAACCCTCGCAAAACGCAGCACGAGAACATAGTGTTACAAAACCGCATTACTGCATATTATATAATGCACATGACAAGGTAAGACAACAAATGTTGGAGTTTGAGTGTGATAGCTTCCAACTAACCTATTTGTCTTGTTAATTTACAATTCAATTCTTGAGCATTATATAAATATATATAAATAAAATATATCTGGAATTTTGGCCCACGGTCCTTAATCAAGTTTGATTTTTGGCTCTTCATATTAACATTTTTTGGGTACCTTGCGAAATTTGTATTTTTGTTTTAACTTTTTTTTTTTTTTTTTTTAATTTTTGCATTGAAATTTAAAAAACAATACAAGTCATTTTGATTTAAAAATAAGCAAAAATGAAAAATAATTACATAAATAATTATATTAAAAGATATTAAAAAATTAAATATATAATTTTTTTAATTACATTTTTTTTAATCAAATTGACTTATATTTTTTTAAACTTCAATGCAAAAATAAAACCAAAAAATGTTAAATATAATTTACACCAGTGGTGCCCAACTACGAAGAGCCAAAAATCAAACTTGATTAAGGACCGTGGACCAAAATTCCAAATATATTATATTAAATATTCACACACACACACACACACACACACACACACACACACACACACATACACACATACACACTCTGGCATAGACTGCAATTGAAATGATAAAACATCACAACTGAGGAAAGAGAGCAAGACGGCTTCTGTCTGAAACAGGACAACTGCATGAACAGCGTGACACGAGATGTTTCAGACCATAAACACACCAGGATTAATATCCAGAGAATATTGTGCTGCTCTCAGCGTTTAGTCATGTGGCGTAAGAGGATAAACCAGATCTCGGCGTCTGAACGCTGTAAATAAGTAGAGAAACACAGAATCCCTTTTTTCCATGTTAATGTGGCTTTCACATTAGTACAATCCCAGAGAGAGCGACTGCAGACAACAAACACATCACAATCACACACAAAAGATCATCTAAATGAAGATAATCTGCTTCAGTAATAACATCCATTCCTTCAAAAAACTCTGTTTTATCAGATGGCTCATTCTATGGTTTTTATTTCAAAAAAGCTGATTTTAAAGCAAACTGAACAAAGAGTGTGTTAATTGCATTGCACCATTTCTTGCTAAATTAATAAATATTAATAAATGTAACGATGACTTCAGAAAAGGCACAACAGGGTAAGTGGGTGATATTTCTAAAAATATACAATTTTCAAAAATAATTCACTTTATAAAAAAAATTCACACAGGTTTAAACATTTTAGATCGTATCCTTCTGAGAAAGCTATCAAGATATAAAATACTGATTAAAGAGGAGAAATATGCTGGTCCTTGGCAGAGAATAGCACAATATTTTAACCTGGAAACACTAATTCATTGCTGGAAGCATTAACGAGGGACACAAAAGGCACCTGCTTTGTAGAGTGACTCAGATGCACAAAACAGTAAAATTACAGTAAAAAAAACGATTTTAACATTGGGAAGATTTTCAAACATACAAGATTCGGTCCATGTCCCACTCTGGTCCTGTAAGCGCAGTGGGAAATCCTGGCAAACGTTACGATAAACGGCATTTCAAGCAGACTCTCGATGCAAAGCTCCAGCTGTGTTTATGTGAGAAACTTCATTTATCTTTACACTGTAAAAAATGACCGTGAATTTAACGGTAAAAGACTGTAAAAATGCTACAGTAAAAACCTGTTAAATGGTTAACGGTAAATTCCCCTACTATATACGGTGAAAAACTGTATTGGACATTACATGTATTGGACATTAATTTTACGGTAGTATACCGTTTTTGGAAGTAAAAAAGACCGTATCATTTACAGTGAATAACCGTAAATTGACATTCCCAGAATTCCCTGCGTTACATTTCAAATTTGATGTTTTTTTGTTGAAATAACTATGTTTCTTCTTTGTTTTTTCTTATCAGTTTTGTATATTAGGGTTGTGTGTTACACCTAATGTTGTTAAATGAATGTTAATTGCATTATTTCAGTTTCATGTGTGTTACC